TCTTTGCATTTGCGTACAAAAAGTAGGAAAGAGCTGGTCAGTGAATTTAGTAAGTCTTGTTAACTGACTAAAGGCATCCAAGCAGATGCCTTATGGCTCACCGGCCAGCTGTTAAGCTACACACTGCTCCTCCCTCTTTACCAAGTGCATGCTCGTTCTCTCATTTACTCTCCCTAACTGCCCTGTGAAGTGGGTGCCATTATCAGCACTAGTCTGCAGATGAGATCAGGCACCAGAGACAAATCGGGTCAGGTGGGGAAAGTTCTGGAGTTTAGTACCCCAAGGAGCTAGCACTGGAACCCAAGCAGCCTCAGTGCAGACCTGAGGTCTCTTCACAGGACCTTTTCCTACCTTGTCAGCAGAGAACAAATCTGTGCGTTGAAGCTGAACGTATTTTTCTGAGCGCCCAATCTAGCGAATTGTCACAGGACCTCACAGAACTGGACCCAGCTCTAACCATACCAGCAAAACTGATCTTGACTTAGCCAATTGCCCAATCTCTCTGAGCTTATCTGTTATGCCGGAATGGGATGCACTACCCAAAAAAAAGGAAAAAGATGGTGGTTTTAAGGACATGGCTCTGATTATGTTCTTCATTATCTACCAGTTACATAAAGTGGGAGAAATAGGTTAAATCCACATTCTTCAAATCCTTAAACTGAGACTTACAAGAAATACATTTTCTTTACAGCCCAATACACATACACATACATGCACAAACTTGCATTGCATAACTGCAAAAAAGTTCAGAAAGTACTCACCATGGACCCTCCCTGGTGGTGCAGCGGGTCAAAGAGCAGCGCTAGTAAGCTATCACAGCCACTGCAGCAGGAGTTCCAACCCTGGCCAGGGAGCTGACCCAAATAGTCCCGCAGACCTCTCTTGTCCCGCCCACTGCTCCCCTCAGCAGTGTATTTCAGTACATGCCTGTTCTGCTCCCCACCTATCTCTGGTGAATCCTCTCACTCTCTGCACCTCTGACTTGTACCCCAGTTCTTATATTGCATCAATAAATAAATCTTTAAAAAAAAAAACCCTTACTGCACTTACATTTTTTTAATATTTTTATTTTGTTTCAGTTATCTGTTTAAATATTGAGTGTGATCTACTCAATTAGGTCTGTGGAAAAAACATACTAGATAACCCAATTCAGAATTCTGTATTATCAAAATCCTTTTATCCTCTGTGAGTGTTTGTTTGGAACCTCGCTTATCTTAAATACACACAACAAATACAAATACATATTTAAAACAAATGAATATTACATATCACAGAAGACTTCCTTTTTACTGCCCTTAGAAGCTAATGGCTTTACAGTAATAATTACCATTAGTTCCGGTTATCTGGTACCTCCCTATGCCAAAGGTTCAAATGCTGAATCTCTTATACTATGTAGCCTGCAGGCTAATTTACAGATATGGAGACCAAGACTTAGGTTAAGTAATTTCTTAAGGCAGGATTCGAAGTAAGTGCCAGAGCCAAGATTTGAGCCCAGATCATTGACATTTCTTTTAGAGCAGGCCATGTAAAGGCTAGCACGTGAGGTGTGGAAGCTCCCCGACAAAATATAGTTTCTTCCCTAAAGTTTGTTGTCCCTAGAAGAAACATCTGTTGTTTGAGAAGTTGAGCTACACAATAGCAGTGATTAAATTCTGTTTCTGGGAGCTTTTCCTATTCTTCCCACCCTAGCTTCTTCCAGATCATTTAAATCTGAATCTCTGGGCATGGGGCCCAGGCCTCTGGTGTTTAAAGCTCCCCAGGTGATTTTAGTGTGGAGCCAAGCCTGGAGGACCTTTGTTCTGAAGTTGTGGTTAAAGAAATTAATGGATTTTTAAGGGGCTTTTTCACTTATTTCCTGCAATCAAGACTAGTAAAATATTACTAGTGCTTTCACAAAGCTGATATACAGGACTATTGCTATTTATTTGGAGCCTGAAAAAGAGCAGATAACCTGGTGACTATTCTGGAAAACCCAAGACAGTGGAGGATATTGGGGTTAGATGAGAGATGTTAGGAACTATGGTACTACAGAGTATAGTAGATCGCCCATAATTCGTGGGATATGTTCTGAGACCCCACTGCATGCCTGAAAGCACAGCAACACCCATCCCTAAATGCTCTATATTCTGGGTTTTCCTATACATTCATACTTATGACAAAGTTTAATTTATAAACTAGATGCAGCACCAGTTTAACAACAACAATAATAAAATAGAATAAGTCTAACAATATACTGTAATAAAAATTATGTCTAATGTGGTCTCTCCTCTCCCCCTGTCTCCCTCCTTCTCAATATATCTTCTTGTTCTTGATATTTTGGGGCTGTGGTTTCTCCTGTCTCACCAGCTGCTCCCCTCAGCACTGTATTTCAGTCCATCTGCCTGTTCTGCTCCCCACTCTGTCTCTGGTGAATCCTCTTACTGCCCTGCACCTCTGGCCTATACCCCAGTTCTGTATGCATAAATAAGTAAATCGTAAAAAAGAAAGTCATTTTGTATATGACTAGAGAAGTCAGTTGTTGAGTTCATCAGAAATGAGTAACCAGTAATCTTTGAACCAGCTGACCAAGGAGGGCATAGAATGCCAAATCCAGCCAAAGGCAACTATAAATAGTGGAAGCATCATGTTTTCTTAAAAAGAACATCAGTGGGCCTTCAGTCGCTTTAGGGCCCTGGGCTTTTCCATCTAGAACCATGGCTCCGCTTGTCCATAACCTCGCAGAGAGGTCCTCGCAGAGAGTTCTACTGCTGGGAGTTACTTGAAACCTTAGCTGGCCACATTTTGGGTTTGTTTGCTTGCTTGCTTGCTTGCTTGCTTGTTTCCCCTGACAGAGTCTTCCAGAATCTTTTTTTTTTTAATTTATGTTTTATTTATATATTTTACATCATTGTTTGTTCCCCACCAGTTCACCTGTACACCATCACCATAGTCCCTTGTGCTATTCTGTTCCCCTGTTTTTGTTACAGGACAACCCCAGTGTGAAATGGGTTGTCGACTGTGGGTCCTCACCCGTGTGCTTAAATGAACTTATAATAATAAGAGTCAATGCAGGCACACACAAAAAGGTTAATAAAGGGTTTATATACAAAAGAAGAGGAATGAATAACTCAGGGAATAAGAGGAGATAAGTTGGTTAATGCGTCCCTACCAGTTCTGCTGACCTTGGGGTTCAAGGCCATGTTGGGAGCTGGTGAGAAGCCAAGAGTCAAGCCATGAGCCAAGAGGCCAAAAGACCCCCAAAGGCCCACATGTCTGGTTTTATACCAAACCTGGCTGTTTACTCCACCCTCAGGTCCCACCATCCTCCCTTTGGTGTTGATGGGATTTGTAGTTATGTTGGGGGTGGAGTCCACAAAGCCTGTATATGTAAAGTTTGTTCAGGACATCTTTTCCCCTTAATATTTTGATCCCTCTTTCTCCCTGTCCCCTGCAGAATGTCTCTGATTTCTGGTTGCCTGCTAGTTTTGTTATTATTATTATTATTATTATTATTATCATCATCATCATCATCATCATCATCGTCATCACCATTAATATCATTATCATCATTTTTCTGATCCCTTGTTTGGTTCCCCTACATTCCTCCTATAAGTGAAACCATCCAATATTTTTCTTCTTTCTGGCTCATTCAATTGACCACATTTTGGCACAACTCCAGGTTGAACTTGTTTCTCCAACCCCTGCTGAGATCCATGCAGCTAATTCAGGGACTGAAAAAAATAGTCCATAGTGCTACAACTGGTACCTTCAAACAGCTCACAGCTCAGGCAGCGCTGCTGAGTGGGGTGGTGGCCACAGAGGTGTGGGTTTCGCTCTATGTTGACAAACTCATAGGCAAGCACAGCTCCTGGTTATAATGTTTGAATACCTCATTCACATCTGATTACCTTTGGTTTATTCTTTGAGTGTTCTTAAGTCATGTGTGATCGAACTGGTATTTGAATAAATTAATATATCAAAAAAGTAAAGCGCCAATGGAAGATTTCTAACTTGTCCATATGGATTGTGGGAACTGATAAAACCACAGACCCTCCCTCAACATCCTTTCCCCAAAGGAATAGGAAGGTTGCCTGTGAACCTCTCTCCACCCTGACTTTTGACCTGTGATATCCCAACTTGTAGTCTATTTATTATATTTGAAAGTAGAGCTGAGCCGTGTTCCTCCTCACTGTTATAGGCAGTGTTCTCCACAGTAGGGGTCATACCACACTGCTGGATGTTTTAGCTGTCACAGGAGACAGCATTAATAATAGTAAAATATGTGCCATTTAGGGAAGCCTCCCTGGTGGTGCAAAAGGTTAAGCCTCAGTATTATAAAGCTATTCTCAGCCACTGAAGCACGAGTTCAGCCAGGGAGGTGACCCAACATGGCACAGCATCCCTCTCCTGTCTCACTTGCTGCTCCCCTCAGCAGTGTGTTTCAGTCAATCTGCCTATTCTGCTCCCCATTCTGTCTCTGGTGAATCTTCTCACTTCCCCTGCACTTCTCACCTGTACCCCAGTTCTGTATGCGTGAATAAATAAATCTTTATATAGGCCCTCCCTGGTGGCGCAGCAGGTTAAAGCACAGCACTGAGAAGCTAAAGCCACTTCCGCATGAATTCGATCCCCGGCAGCCCCGGAGGTAACCCACAAGGAGAGGCAGATCTCTCCTGACCCGCCCACTGATTCCCTCAGCAGTGTACTTCATCAATCTGCTTGTTCTGCTCCCACTCTGTCTCTGGTGAAGCCTCTCACTGACCCTGAGCCTCTGGCCTGTACCCCAGTTCTGTATGTACAAATAAAAAAATAAAAAATAAATAAAAATAAATCTTTATATATATATATATATATATATACATATATATATATTTGTAAATAACCCACAAGATGGTGACATACTCCTTTTAGGCCCCTGGACAAGGGGCAAGTCCCCAGTAGTCTGCCTGCCGGGATGTGGGGGTAGAGACACTGCTTCTCTTCTGTCCTTAGTCACAGTGTTTCTCCGGGTTTGCTTATAGAATGACGTGGCCGTGCTTCTGAAACCAATATCGGAAAAGATTCAGGAGATCCAGACTTTCAGAGAGAAAAACCGGGGCAGTGAAATGTTCAATCATCTCTCGGCCGTCAGTGAGAGCATCCCTGCCCTTGGCTGGATAGCTGTGGTGAGTCTAGAAGGAATGTCATCCCCATCACCCCATACCTTGTAGTATTAGGGAGTGCTAGAACTCAGCCTACAGGCTCTCTCCTCTGTTCCCCCAAAAAGGGTCCTCACTGGCTGAATCCATCAGCTCTGTCTTGCCCTGTTTGAAATCCAGTGCTTTGTATTCTGAGATGAGAAAAGTATTTCATCCATCTTGACTGAGCAAAATTTGCCTCGAACTTTCAAGTCAACATCTTCGCTCCTTTTCTTTTTCTTGAAGGCATTTTCTTTCTTATTCTACTTTTTTTTTTTTCCTTCTATGCTTGGGTGATGGTCCTGTTCTCTCAGTCCCCCAAACCCGGTCCTTATGTCAAGGAGATGAATGACGCTGCCACCTTTTACACTAACAGGGTCTTGAAGGACTACAAGCACAGGTATGTACCTTCTTTTACTGATCAAGTTTTTAGTCGATCAATTGTTAGATAATTGTCCCTACAACTTAATACAGTTCGTTATCAATTCCTGTCAAAGGCTGTTAACTGGTTTATTCTCAACTTTAAAGAAAAGCCCCATCTCTATGGATGCAACAAAGAGAACTGTGAAATCAGTGATCCAGGCAATATATCTCTTAGAAAATCCACCATGGGGGACCTCCCTGCTCTGGTGGTGCAGTGGGTTAAAGTGCAGCACTATGAAGCTATTGCAGCCACTTCAGCATGAGTTCAATCCCCGGCCAGGGAGCTGACCCACATGGTGCGACAGACCTCTCCTGTCTCACCCGCTGCTCCCCTCAGCAGTGTATTTCAGTCAATCTGCCTGTTCTGCTCCCCACTCTGTCTCTGGTGAATCCTTTCACCCCCTGCATCTCTGGCCTGTACCCCAGTTCTATATGCATAAATAAATAAATCTTTTAAAAAGAAAGAAATTCCACCTCGGTTCTCTTATAATGAAGAACCTACCCCCTCCCCGGCCCCCCCACCAATACCCACTTAAATACATGTCACCATTACTTATTCCACAGTCAGGAGAGAGTGCTGTGATTGCTTGTGATAGGCTAGTTATTTTTGGTCACAAAACTTGTACATTATTCAAAGTAGGGGTGTTGGGTGAATAGAGAGAAGAAAAGAGTAATGAGGAAATGCACTGTAAATGAAAACAAGAATGAAATGAGACAGTAAGCCAGCCCACTGAGAAGGAAACCAGAGGCTGCATTAAGATGAATATACTGGCAGGATAGCAGCCTGATAGAGGACAGCTGGAAATGCTGGTGAGTCAGAACTAAGGGGTTTTGCCTGGAGAACCAACCTAAAAGGACTTTACATCTCAATGCAAACAATGGAACCTCAGAAGACTTACACTGGGGTTAAAATTGAAAATGGGACCAAATGGACAGGTGTCAGAGCTAAAGAAATACCCAGGAAAATGTTTCATAAAGTACTGGAAGGGCACCACACAACACCTTGCGCTTTGAGAGTGTCATCACCTGCTCTGTAAACACCTGCCAGCGCACAAAGTGGCCCATCGCCAGACACTCAAGGCAGAAATGAGGCACAAATAGAGCAATAAGATACCATCAGCTAGACTCTGGGCTCAAGAGAGGGTTTTTCCCAAAGCCCTGAGGTGCCATTTGCCTGGAGGCCATTTGTTTGTTCACCCACACTGTTCAGAGGGAAGGAAATATGAGGAATAGTCTGGATTTTTGCAGCAATTTACCTCTTTATAAAGTAAATCTTTAACATATCTAAAAATAAAAACTATAAGGAAAGAATGTATAGCAGTGGGTAGATTTTAAACGGAAGAAAAAACTATGTAGAATGTATAAATAAATACATAGTTCCAAGTGATTGACCAATTTTGCATATTCAAAACTTGTATCACTATTGAAGGGGGGTTGTTTTGGTTTTAATAAATACTGAAGCCTCCCTAGTGGTCTAAGGATTAGTTCTCAGTATTGTCACCACTAAGATGAGTTTCCTTCTCCCCTACCTGCATTCCCCCCAGCTCACCTATGCTGCAGCAGACCTCTCCTGTCTCCCCTGCACCTCCCTGTAACAGTGTATTTCAGTAGAGCCACCTGTTCTGCTCCCCACTCTGTCTCTGGTGAGTCCTCTTATCTCCCATACCTCTGGCCTACATCCTAGTTCTTCTATGCAAAAAAGAAAAAAATTATACCATAGAGAATACCCCTAATTCTAAACTCAGTTTAAGAAATATGTGCCAATATTTTTTTACAATTAAAAACTACACTGCTGGTGAGAATGCAGACTGGTCCAACCACTATGGAAAGTTGTGTGGAGGTTCCTCAAACTACAAAAAATGGAGTTACCATAGGACTCAGCAATTCTACTCTTAGGAATCTACCCAAAGGACTCAAAAACATTCATTCAAAAGGACACCTGCACCCCTATGTTTCTTGCAGCATTATTTATAATAGGTAAGACATGGAAACAACCCAAATGTCCAAATACTAATGACTGGATCAGGAAGATGTAGTGTACACACACACACACACACACACACACATACACACACTGGAATATTATTCAGCAATCAAAAAGATAAGCTCATGCCCTTTTCAGCACATGGATGGAGCTAGAAGGGACTAAGCTCAGTGAGATAAGCTAGAAGGAAAAAGAAACATATTGGAGGATTTTACTTATAGGAGGAATATAGGGGAACCAAATAAGGGATCAAGAAATAATAATAATAAATCAAAAAGCAAAATTACCAGGAAGCTATAAATCAGAAATATTTTGCAGAAGAGGGGGAAAGAGAGGGATAAAATAAGGAAGGGGAGAGCACAAGGGACTGTGGTAATGATGCACAGATGAACTGGTGGTGGGAATTCTATGGGACTACACCTGAGAGCAAGCATACAAAAATGAACAATGATGTAAAATGTGTATGTATGTGTGTGTACATACATTTTACATTGTTTATATATATATATATATATATATATATACATATACATATACATATACATACATACACACACACACACACACACACATAAATCCCCATCACCAATGGCTAATATTAAATAGATTACAGTTATTTCCTACTGTGAGATATTATATACACTTATTAAAAAATGAAGTATATACAAGTATAGTAACATAGAAAGTTTTAATAATATATCACTAAATGAAAAGAGGAAAGAATAAAGCAAAAGATTCAGCCAATATCCCATCACCTATGTATGTTAAACTACACACACACATGAAAATATCTGGAAGAACAGATTTCAAAGTCAGGAGAAAATAATGAGAAGTGTGGAAAATAAAGAACTGTTTCCATTACAGTCTATGTACTTATAAATAATTATTAATGACCATTATGTTTTTCATTTCACATTCTTAAATTTATTTTCCCTTTCCTCCCCCAAATTTAGCCTGAATACCAATTACACTAGATGTTCACTTTTCTAAATATGGCATGAATTTTCTTAAATGTCCACCTCCATCCAGTGTATCCTCCTCCTTTAATTTACTCTCTAAAGAAAACATACAGGTTTGTATTAGTTACATACTTCATGAAAAAATAACTGCA